ACAGCATAACACAACACAAGACAGCATAACACAACACAAGACAGCATAACACAACTCAAGACAGCACAAGACAACACAATGCAACACAACACAACACAGCATAACACAACACAAGAAAGCACAACACAAGAAAGCACAACACAAGGCAGCACAGCACAGCACAAAACAAGATAGCATAACACAAAACAAGACAGCATAACACAACACAAGAAAGGACAACACAACACAACACAATGCAACACAACACAACACAGCATAACACAACACAAGACAGCATAACACAACACAAGACAGCATAACACAACACAAGACAAGAAAGCACAATACAACACAAGACAGCACAACACAAGACAGCACAACACAATGCAATGCAACACAGCACATGTTTAGAGCACCATGTGGTATAGCCATATTCTACATGATTAGCTTTCATTATCTACGGTGTGTTCAATGGTTCTTACATCAACAACTTTGTCCTTTTCATCTGTTCCTTCTTCTACTATGGCTTGGTAATCTGAAATAAAAGATATCATCACAACACTCATTATTGATGTATGATGACAATATCAATGTTCATCAATATTGAAGATATATTTATCATTTCAATTGTTTGGTCAAGCAATCAAATGAATCAATCAGCKAATCACACAATCATTTCTAAATCACTGAGGGAAGTGCTGATTGTTTGAGCTYATGTTACTGTTGTATCTGAATGTACATGTATCACTAAATTCTAAGGTTCTTAATGGTGGGAACTAGCAGTACACTAGTGTGAGGTAAGTGTAAGGTGCTTAATAACCATTACCAGGTGGTATGGGTAAGGTAACCCAGCGCCAATGTAATATTCTTTCTACTTTTCCTTTTAGAGGCTCAGTCTATAAAAAAATACAGTAACAATTTATCACAAACATATTTGGCTCACATTCATCCAACAAAGTCAACAAAGTATTACACAGCCATGTACTAAAGTAATTCACTAGATATAAAACACAGTGATATACTAGACAGACAGTAAATCATCACCAGTACACTAGTCAGAAAATGTAGATAGACAGTGTGCTAGATAGACAATGTACCTGACATCTTGGGCATTTCCATTCACCAGTGGGCACCCTTTTCATTGGTGGTATGAGACACTTGAGATGGTAAGCCATGGGACATTGGTCACAACACAATAACTGACCTCCATCCTTACAGACACGACAGTAGTCACTGTGTATGTCTTCACTAGAGGTACTTGTCATCTCAACCTCCTAATAACACACAATAATGTTAAAGGCAAACCTCTATTAAATGGTCAACAAGGGAGCCCCATAACAGAGATTAATTTGATAAAGTTTACATTAAACATAATTATATGCAAGAAACAAATTTTGGGAAATGCATAAGTGAACACTTAATGATGGGTGGCAGCTGAATAAGGTTTGCCTACACTAGTGCACAAAATAAAAAAAGATGCAAACAGTGATTTGCACCTGATTGAAACATCAAGGCATTGATGACACAGTAGAAATAGGCCTTTTGCATGAAACAGTCACATTGTACTAGATCCACCATACTGGATGGCAAAAGAATGTAAATAACCTCAAAAACAAACGGAACATAGCCCTTCAAGCTTGACTCTTCTTTGCTTTGAACATCCCAGTGTAATCTAAACATCCAGTATGGCGGATTTAGTACCACGTGACCATTTCATGCAAAATTGTTCATTGAAAAAGTACTACAGGTCAAAGTCATTATTATAATCAGTAAACAGGGYTATATTAAAAATACTGTTTATGACTTCAATAACTTGGTCTTATCATGAAAATTGAAAGCCTTTTTCATTTATTAACCTATTGGAAGTTAACTTACACAAACAGGACAGCTCCACCTGCCATCAGGAGGTTCATCTAGAGGAGGATCAAGGCAACCAAGATGCCATGATAAAGTACAAGTATCACATAATAGTAGATCACCACCCTCATCACATGCCTCACAGTAATCTTGATGCTCATCCTGAAACAATCATATCTGATATGTACTGATAGTTATGACAAACATTATTTTTTTTCTGAAGCTGGTTTTCTGGACTGATAGAAAGCCTTCATGGCAGCCACTATTGTGTTATGTGGTTGACTCTCAATCAGTGAAAGTAGAGGTAACTTTGTTGTTAAAAATAAACAAGCACTAGAGTTATTCCAATACTTGGGTCCCAGAAGTCTCTGGGGACTTTCACTCTTGAAAAAACAATATTATTTTTAGCGATATTATTTTTCTTTTTTTTTTATCTTTACATTAATAACATTTCCAAAGAATATAGGTAATGCACTGTAGCATTCAAATTCTATCAAGAGTTATGTATTTGTGAATTTGTGGGGTAGAACGGGAGATGATATCAGATCTACTGTACATGTATTACAATACTCACCACCCCCATGACTTCATCATCATCACCTTACAAAAAAAAAACATTTAATTGTATTAACTTCTTCAACATACAATAAAATAATTCAAAAAACTACTATTGCCCAATTGCTGTAATCTTCCTGTGGTGTGATGTTATAATATCAAATGTACTTACGAGCTCTGTGTCTCTATAATATCAAATGTACTTACGAGCTCTGCGTCTCTATAATATCAAATGTACTTACGAGCTCTGTGTCTCTTTTTGTCCTTGGTTTTCTTCATTGTTGTATCTTTTATCTTTATGCTGCGAGTCTTTTGTACTTTGCGCCGTGACTTACTGACACTGATTTCTCTGTAGCTTTGGTCACTTTCATCACCATCCTTGTCATCACTTTTCCTCTTTCTCTTTGATTTGGTCTTTTTTTGTTTAGCTCTACTACTAGCAGCACTGGACTCRCTACACTTGTCACTTTCATCTTCACCTTTGCTTTTCTTATCTCCTGTAAAACAAATGCATAACAAAACTAAACCACTAACTACACTGTACAATAACAATCAATCAATTAATGAATCAATCAATCAGCTTAATGAAGAACAGTATCAACTTTGGTGGATTCAAGAAGCCTGTGATAACAGTACRATATTTAAGTATGGGAAACAAGTTCAACAGTAGCAGTTCAAAAGCTGTGTTAAGCAGCACAGGAAAGGCAAAATTACATATGCTCAAAAGGAGCTTGAAATGTGCTCCACTCTAAAAACTTTACAGTCAGGAATAAAGAGTAAAAGTAAGTGGTATAGTTTTCGCTGCTTATATTAACTGTCATTGTTCACTCCATACTCTCGGTCTATATCAAGGTACTGTATATTGCAAGTGCTTTATTTCAACAATAAACCACAATCAGGTGTGTATCAGAATGAAACTATTATTGTTATAGACTGAAATGATAGAAAGTAATAGTGCTTAGAAGGAGGCAATTCCGTGAGAAAGACCCTTAGGAATAAATTCGGAAAAATTAATTTCTGACCTCGCTGGGATTTGAACCCACGACATTYGGATTTGTACTGATTTGTACTTCGGATGTGTACTGTCCTCATATTCATATCTTTACATTATTCTATTACCGCAACCTTAACATCTATTTCACCCCGACCTGCTCCMAGTCTGGCCTTGTAGCTCAGCTGGTAGAGCATCGGTAGTACAAATCCGAACGTCRTAGATTCGAATCCCAGCKATGTTGGAAATTAATTTTTCCGAAATTATTCCTAAGGGTCTTTCTCCCGGAATGGCCTCCTTCTAAGCACTATAACTTTCTTTCATTTCTATTATTGTTATGTCAATGAATGAATTTCATTTCTATTATTGTTATGTCAATGAAAATTTCATCAAATTCAAACTACATTCTGCAATTTAATAGCAAACATAGATTGAAGGTGTGTGATTGATTGATTTGATGTACTCAATATTTGTCTTACGTTTTCCTTTCAATTTACTCAGAAATGGTAACTTTATTTTGGCTCGGCTTTTTGTTGGAGGGCCACTATCTTCACTGTCAATATCAAAATCTTCATCAGAGTCATTAATGAATAATTCGTCATCTGACTGAAAGAAAAATAGAAAATCATACATTAGCCAAATAGCAAAAAACACCAAAACTACTTCAGCATTAATAATGGAATGTCAATCAGTCAATTTTGAGCTCACTTTTTACTACTATTTATAAAACTATGTACATATTATATACTGTCTGCTTGAGTGACTATTATCCAATCCATCCCATATTAATATTGGATAAAGATGCGTTAGAAATATAACTCACATAGTGCTTTCTGGAGTGCTTGGGTTTCTTGCTGGGATTTCTCTTGCTTTTCTTAGAGCCTCTTTTCCCTGAACTGCCATTATCTTTTAACATCTTGTAGTCCTGCCACATGGCTCCTAGTAATGCATTGATCTTGGTGTGCTCAGCTCCAGGGTTAGCTTTATTAATCTTYTGCCTTACTAGCTTGGTAAATTTCAAGTATGTCATGCCTTCTTCATCTTCTTTAGTCAGCTGAGGTGTTATCATGACCAAATTAAGGTCTTTTGCCACAATCTCACCTCTTAAAGGCAGGGSCTAATCAAACAACAATGAAATGATTTTTCATTCATTCTATGAATTAAATACCCTAATCTAACATATTATTAATTCTCAGAGTATTTGATGGGATATATGGGTGAAAAGATATAGTAGCCTCTGGGAAATTCCTTGTCTTAGTGTCTCAGTTATTGATGCACATAAAGGTCTCACACTCACATTTTATATATTACATAATCAACAATGTTTTGCTGCACCATATCAGATGTCTTGACATATACACAGTGATATTGTAAACATATTTGGTATACAGCGGATTTCATATGAATGTGCAACGGGGGTATGGCACGGTCACGGAACCTTCTAGGGATTCCAGATGAAAAAAAAAAAATTAACAATACATCACCACTACTGCACGGTACGATCACAGCACGAAAATACGGTGTTTTTTGCACAGTCATACAAAATCTGCTCTATTTATTCCAAGTATATACAGCATCAAAAGAGTTTCTTTAGGGAAATGGTGTCTTACCACATCATCAGGTTTGTCTCCTGTCTCATCAASCACTTTTACTTCTTCACTTTCTTCTTCTGCAATTCCTTGATTTGATGATATGTTAGATGCACCATCRTCATCTTCAATCTGCAAATACACAGCAATGCATTAATCAAACTGTACGGAAATACACCTTGTACTATGCAACAATTGTAGCTTGTCAACAATAAAATCATGTTCATAAAGCCTGATTTACATGAGCAATGCAAGCAAAATTGGACCCGTTGAAAATGAAATTGCAGATGCAAACACAAGTACAAGAAAATAAAAAAAAAATCATGCATTGCTTCATTACCAGTAGTCATACTGTAAGAACAGATTTAAGACTGACATTAATTTCATCTGCATTTGCCTGGAAATCAATGCTTACCATTTTTTAATKAGCTGAAATTCTAGATTGCATTGACTTTTATTTTGCTCATTTTGGTAATAATAAAAATATGCACTGTATTTCTCAATGGCTATGCCAACATTGAATACAAGGCTAGTGTATATTAGAAACAATCCTTAAGTTTGCTTACATTCTGGCAATTTTTGCAGTAATTTCTGTGGTCATTTTGATTAGAGAATAATGCTAATGAATTAACTTGTAATTTATGTTTTATTCAGTACACTGAGATAAGCTAACTAAACGTTTCCTTAGAAGGTTACAGGCATCTGAAAAATTGCAGCAAAAATTGTCAGTGTTCATGACCTTTAAACTTTTACTAGTAAACATCTATAGAATATCATACACAGTACATGTAAACACAGAAAGCAGTTGATATCTTACCTCTTCCTCTCTCTTTCTTTTCTTGCTTCCTGCTGTGGATTTCTTTGTTGTACTGTCATCTTTTGCTTGATCTCCAGTTTTTCTCTTTTTGGTTGGTTTCTCTCCTACATTGTCATCTACAAAAAGATTTTTAAACACAGATACATTTAATTAAAAAACCCATGTTTTTACGTCTAGATACTGGGRGTTGTAGCCAAGTCTCCCTAGCCAGTGGCTACTGTTACAAGTATATATCGGATTCAAATGCACTCATAACAACTATAGTGTATTTTGCTGCTCACAGCAAGTTTTAGACCAAGGGGGAAAACAAGCTTACCTGGAGAAAAACCCTAAGAGCAAGAAAGAGAACCAGCCCACAAACTCAAATCACATATAGTCCTAGACTATGATGAATTTTAGGTGGACTAGGGCTGTACTAGTGTGTTTTTTTATGAAACAGGTCAGAGGATATGTAATATGCACTTGATTGCCATTCTGGGCATTGGTATCTTCATTGAGTTACTTGTTCTACTTGAATTACTAGTTTTCAATATATGTTCTAATATCTAGATTCTTATATGAATGCTAAATAATCTTATCAAATTCATTAATAATTCATAAGGTAAAAACAATGGAAATCATTGCTGTGACCACATCTTTATATGAGGAAGAGATTTGTCCTGACTTGCATACAACTTTAACTTCAATTTTCTCTTACAAATGATATTTTATCTTGAAAGTTTTTTATGCGAAATATGATTTAGCTTATGTTGAAATTTGATAAGCAATATAAATGAGAGTATCAAGCACGCTTGGGATGTAGAGAGAACACTCAAGAAGGTGGAAACTTACGCTTCTCTCGTGTTTTCCCTACATCCAGTGTGTTTTGATCAGAGTATGAAATGCAGTAATCCGTTTAATATTTCTTAAATTGAGCATGTCATGAAAATATTTTACTTCAACTGCAAAGAGCCTGCTAAAATTAATAAATTTGCCAAGTTTTTGTGTAATCTGTTAAAAACAGTAACATGTAAGATACAGGTACTTACACTAATATGTAATACAAAGTTGACCAGCTACATATATTTGTTTGGAAAATTTGATGACTTTGAATCAAGGTGTTTTCAAATTTTCAAATACTTCCAAACTCGGAAGATTGTCTTTTCAGTGGATGAAACAAATTTTTGTGAAATGAATATCRGTCTATTGTTATGTAATATTGAGTTGATCCAAATTGACAGTGAATATGGAAGAAGGAACTTCACCGACCAAACTACATAATCTTCAATCCAATTGCATTGCATTGATAGTGTCACCCACAACATTATGTGTCTGCCTTAGAATAGTTTTCACAACAAGCATTGAGTTGAAGAGCCATTCCTACGACTCTGACGTTCATGCCAAGACACAAACAACAAGTTGCAATTTGTGTGATTTGTGTGATGGCATCAATCATTACAGAGAGGCTAAAATGCTTTTACTGGCTTTTCCATAATCTTCAAGCAAAAATAAGCTTATTATAATTCAGGTATATCAAAACTATCGGAATAAAATATCTGCCAAATTATTAAAAACTTTTCATGTAAAAGAATACAAATACAATAAGTTTAAGTGACAAAGTCTTCAAACAGACTGAAAGAGTAGGACATTTTGGCGAAAAAGTTTCTAAAAACAGTTTAGCAAGCAAAAACATTATATGTAAACCGGTGTTTTCAGACGTATAACTTTTATTCCTGACAGAAAATTTAAAAATAAAAAACCTTCATTTTTGGTGGTCGATAACGAAGAAAAATGAGAATGTTTCGATCAGAGACATGGGGTGGACAATGCTCCTGACCGTGAATGTCATTAGTTCTACAGTCCATTCTCCCTCGATCTGCGATGCCCGGGCCATTTAAAAACACTTTTTAAATACAAATACTGCCCTCATCTCAAGATGTACGAGAACAAAGAACAAATAGCAAATTATCTAAGAAATAAAGTTATAATAACAAATTCCAAGCTTGACTTCAAGTGAAAGTGAAAACCCGAATCTTCGATTGATGGCAACTCTCGTGTCTACAAACAATGGCGCCAATTTCYAAACTCTGTTTTGAAAAAGTGAAATACTCTTTCTTATAGAGCTAAAATATTGAAAAAAATAGTTAACACGACAGTTAACTTGTACTTTCTGTTTTAAATTRATCTTAAAACTTCAACATTGACCAAAATGTTTACTGCAAAGGYAAAGGAAAACAGAATTACCAAAAGTTGTCAACCCAGGTCACAACGGCCGAATAGAAGTGTGCTACTCACCGTCATTGCTGTCAGGTATGACCGTAGATTCTTTCTTCTTACAATTTGAAGCCATCACGCACCGTATAGAAGCATGCAAATTTTGTTGGAAAGGGAAAATTGAAGATAAAACGGGCTAAYAACCCACAACCTTGTATTGAAAGAACTCAGACTTCGACGCGAGWACGATAACGCGGGGTCGCTGCGTAGCCTGGCTGCTGCATGAAATGCATTGTAAGGAGAAAATAAGGTGAACTTCGGATTTACAAAACAGAAACGGTAAAACATTTTTTAWATAGAGTAAATAAACTCAGATTTGATGTTAATATTTTTTTCTATTAACCACGTTGACGTTTTTTACATAACAATATTCAATACAAAGAAATGGTCAATTTTTTTTGCCAATGTATTTATTTTCTCCCAACATACGCTCACGTGGTACAATGCCTGCTACTTCCAGAGAGTATACATCTTCATATATATTAGCGACAACTTACTTTATCAYGTCAAGTATTTGTTGACAGATCGGTAAACACACAATGTCAGTATTCCTGTAAGTAAATCATAGCTATTTTCAAAAGTTTTAATATAATTTAGGGCCAATTCAGAGATTTTGAGAGTTAAAACAATTAATGATATTCATGGTCTCACGTGATGAACATACAAATTCTCCTAACWWACTATTTGAAGATTTTTTGCCAAGCCCTTTTCACAGATGACATCCCATAATTTTTGCTTCAACTTGATTGGCTTATAGATYTTTGATTGACATGTGCAGTTCCCCTCTAGAGAAATGCCACTTGGACACATTTTATCAAAACTATACTATTCCTCATAAATACTTCATAAACTTATAAAGTGTGTATACCACCTCAAAACAAGAAATCTATTACAGTGACAAAGTAAACTCAAAGTGACATAAATTTCCAAAAAATCAATGCTGTGACAGAGAGATTTGTTGCATTTATAATGATGCATGTTACGCTGAGCAGTTTTCATTATTTCTCTACAATATCATGTACATTTGACCACGAACTAGAACTCTTCAAGACTGCACCCATAGGATTATGTGGAACCAATTATTTATCACCTTATAAAAAGCTCCCTCTCCCCTGGTCAGTCTTATTCTTTTACCCATACATGTATGCTACCCATAGGCATCCCATAATACTCCTTTTTAGAGAGGACACATGTATACATCATTCACCAGTTGAACAAGGGTGTCAGTGACCAAGACAATCTAGTACAGTTTGGTKAGGTTCAGGAAAGAGCAGTCATGAGTGTAAAATGATTTTAAAATTTGATGTCACCAAATGTTTGTCTCTGAATTTCTAGGCCTACACCAAGTAATACTTTGTCAAGCTTTTGGTATCTATGCTGCTTTTGACACTGTCAGTTGCATTATCATGACCGCTAGCTAACACTATTAACCCAATCTACTTCCAACTGACCTCTTGACCATGCTCATAACACTTAGACCTCTAGGGTGAGTGGACTACAAGCTGATAGCGCATGAGGCCAAAGGCTATCAGTTTGCAGTCCACATGTCTGAGAAGTCTAATTGTTTTAGTATTACCATACTAGTGGGACAAAAAATGAAATGCATATAAATAACAAAATGTTTTTATTGCTAAAAATCCACACAACGTTGTTTGACACACCTGTCATGTTTGACAAGTAAAAATCAATTCATTAAAAGCTGTTGAAAGCTGGTTTGAGTTAAAAGACTTAAAATGGTCCTTAACACAGTGATTTGATCTGCAATATTTCTAAAAGAAAAACACTTTTGGCACTTTTCACTAGTAGACGACTATTGAATATAGACACCGAGTAGAATAGTTTTGTAAAAAGATAAATTTAACATCGTAAAATTTGGTGAACTAACTTAATGACGTTTAGGACGTTAATCTAACATCCAAAATGTCAGTAAGTTATTTCATCTACTTTTTTATGGAGTTAAACTTATCTTTTTACATAACT